CTGCGGGCCGCTCCGCGGCGTGCGGGAGCTCCTCGGCAGCCCGCAGCGAGCCGGGACGGCGGAGGTGCCAGCCTCCACGCAGCTGTTATTCCCATTATTGGTAGAGTGGCCTGAAATGCACTGAGCGCAAGGCCTGAGGAAATACCAGAATCACATCCAAAATCCCCAAAGAAAATGAAGTTTGCCATGTAATGACAATTAGCCGTAATTAGGCAGATCTGTAAACGTCCCCAAAGAGTACAGCACGCAGCTCAGCTACCCCGTAAAATTATGCGAGCTGAAGTACTTACTGCGCTTGCTGTGTTTCTTTATGCCAGCCTGAAACTTTTCCCCCGGTTTTGTTGGAGAATATAAACTATAAGTCTGTCTGCCCTCAGGTAAACGCTAGATTGCAACGGCCTGGCTGCTGAGCCTTCACATGCACAAAGAGAGTAACAATATAATAACACCGGTGTACATTCATACACAAACTAAGAGCTGGAGAGGAGAGAATGCCCCGAAACTGTAGCCAGATGCAGTTTCCGAGCAGCATCTCCTGACAGCTGGGTTACACCTTACCATTCAGGGATGTCAGGCTGTGCTGCAGCCTTTCCCAGCTTTCTCTCTGAAATACGGTGGGATGTGCTGCAGCCCAGAACTTCTGCCCTGCGTGGGATGAAGTTTGTGGCACAGCCGTTCAGGTGGCAACAGCAGTTTTTGGCAAAACACTCTAAAGACAGCTCAGACTTGTCACTCGGACAAGATTCCTGTCATCTTTGGTGAGAGTTTTGTACAAAGGCTTTCCTTATACTTTCTATTCTGTCACAACTGCATCTCAAGGCCTGATCCTGCTGCCCTCCCTTTGTGCTTTTGAAGATGATCGGGTGTTAATCTTGCCATGTGATAGAGGAATCAGCCCTCATGTGCTTCTGGGACTCCGTGGTCTGGTTTTGCCTTCAGCTGCCTTGGTGTGATTGCTTTCAGGAGAATGGCATGGCTGTACCCCAGGCGGGAGTTGTCTTGTAACTCATCAACTCTTAATGCACAGGTTAGTCTTAACACTACAGATGCACACCTTTTATTTTGGGAAGCATCTCCTGGGAGTCCAGGCTGGCTCTGCTTTGTACTCAGAGCATTAAGAAATGCCGCTCTTAGTATCAGGCTTAATATCCACAGATGTTGCCGTGGATTATGGGGAGGGAAGGGTGACTCATTTGGAGTTTAATTCCTCCCCTCCCCCATAAACTCAGTTAAATCTGAGGCCAGATCTGCCTTTGCTTATACCCCTCTGAGGCTGGAGGGGAGGAAGTTGGTATAAATCAGGTTAGAATTTAGAGACTGGAGGAGATGCTCTTTGTTTCCCCAGTGCTGGTGGGGGAGAGCAAGGACTGACATCCCACAACTGTGGTGTTCTGCCACGTGCAAAATGAGGGATTATTTCACTTGGTCAAGAGAGGTGCAGAGGTGTGTTCCTGGGAGGAGATATTTGCTCCGAGCAAAGAGCTGGGTGGGAGTGGGCAGGTTGGAAGAGCACTGGCTGTGTGTCTCCAGGGAGTGTTCATGCCGCCTCTGCAGACAATGTTAACTCACGACAAAAGCTTCCAGCTTCATGCCAGATCTTAGTGTTGATGGGTGAGGGAGAATCTCGCTGAGCACCAAGTTCTTCCTAAACTCTGAGCTGTAAACTTTGGTGGTTTTTCTCTTCTGGCTGCCTTACTTGGAGGCTGCCCCAAGTGATCTGTGTGCTGCGAGAAGCGCTTGACTGCCAGGTGAGTAGCTGTGCTGCAGTCATCAGGTGCAATAACAACATTGCTGTAGAAAAGCCTGGTTTTGCTGTTGGGTTTCTTTAGCAGGTGTCTTATATCCAATCTAGTGTGGGGATTTACATATTCTAGGCCTACTGCGAATACAGCACTAAAGATTAAAGGAATTGAGTTTGTCTTACTCAGCCAGTTTTATGATAGTGCAGGTTCATTGAATTTGATGCTGCTACTCCAGTTTGCATCAGTTTAGTGAAGAGAATCAGCTGACCTTGTGTTTGTGTGTTTCCTAAAATGACTGTTTGGTGTGATCTTGAAAAGGGAGGTTTCAAGCCACGATGTTTTTCCTCAGGCTCATGCTAACCTCAGGAAGGCTGGTGCCTGCATGCTAAGCAGGAAGCAAGGTGTGTGTGTGGCTTTGAATGAAGTGGTTCTCTTCAGAAGTCACACTGCATTTTTCATCATTTTCTTTCCTCCTATCTGTTCTGATCTGTAACATCTTTTTTTCTGGAGATGCAGCTTTGATCTTTAAAGTGAAGAGACGGCGTGCAAGCCGCATAGAGGACAGATTTCCCCACTGCTCAGCACCCTCAGCTGAGGCTGGATCTCCGACAAGTTCAGCACCCAGCAGCTCCCCACGTTTTAAAGGCGAGGACTCAACAGGCTGAGCAGTTCCGCAAATCAGGCTCGCAGTGCTAAGGCTTTGCCCTGGCTTTGATCCTTGCTCTCATCCCCTCAGCCAGCTGGTGCCGGGAGCTCTGTAGGCAGCCCTCCGCCTGTTCAATGAACTTCCTACTGGATTAAGGGGCAACATTCACTCATGTCAAAGCGCTTCCTATTCATGGGTCCCTGGCTGGAAGGAGCTTGCTGTAATAGGCCACCAAGTGCAGGAGTGATAATAGGAAAAGCCAGGACCTAATGAGCAGTGCCTTTGAGCAGTGAGCACGTAGATGATTTCTTCAGATTCCAGCTTTCTGTTTTGCAGGTGACGTGAAATCCAGTGCTTCTTTCAGGCCTGCCCTGCCCTTCCTCCTCTCTCATTTACTCCTGCCAGCTGCTATTGCAAGTGAGGAGAGGGCTTTGCTTTTCCCAGGGCTGTTGCTTTTAATACGGAG